TGTATTGTTTTAGCTCACGATGACGACACTGGAATTCGGACATTGCCTTTATATGCCTGCATGTACTTCTATTTGAATATATCAAATTTATTTGCTTATAATGTAATAAAACTTATATGTCAGATTGTGTTTGGATTTTTTTATATTTGAACCATGTTTTTGAACCGAGAAGAGGGGACTGGAAATGAATGGCAATAAAACTGGATGCATGGTTGTATCAAATAATAATAAAAATACCCAAATGCATCATCAGCTGCAAAGTAGTAAAAAATAAACAAGTTTCATCAGGGAAAATGAAGGCAACCTGGTATCCTAATATATTTCACAACACCTTTGAACTCCTCAACCTCAGATACAAAATATTAATGTGTCCGAGCCTCAACTTAACCTAAATGTCCCTCATGTGTCCCAAACCTTTTGCTATTAAGACACCCTGAATTTCAACGTTTATATTATAGTTCGTTAGTTTTAAAATGACAAGTTTGGCCAAAGTGGGCAATACTCCCTAGATCGCAAACCTCAGCCTCAGATACTTTGACTTCAAGGAGACGCCCCTTCTTTCCTTGCGCTCCCAATTAGCATTAATACTTATGTTTTAATCAATTCAGTTTTTAGAAGCTGCATTATGTGCAGGTGGATAGAGTAAATGTAACCACTCAAGATAGCGTCTTGGTCATTAATCTTTGCATGTCAATCAATCAATAATTCTAGCTTATACCCTCGTTTGATTTATCATAAATGATGGAACATACAGGTTGTTTTGACAAAGCGGATCTTATTGTTTAAAACCGCCAATAAAGAAGTACCTTCTCATTGGAACCACAGTTTCCTTTCGGTAAACTCCTTACATGGGTTGCATAAATCAAACATATCATTTTTTCATTTCAAGTCAATGTAAAATCGGATTACCTCCTCGTCTTAGCGTTTAGTGCGTCATTCTACCGGAGAAGAAAAACAATAAAGAGTAGATACCCATCAATGTAAACTTAAAACTTGTATAAGTAACCAGCCCGTCCCAGCAGTCAATCCACTTACGTCACGGTAACTCCAAGCTGTATGAATCTAATGGAGGACGGACTCTGTTACAACCAATATTTGGGATTATTCCCATAGATGTCATCGGTCTACAATGTACGTAGATCGATCTTAATCTGAAGGGACTCTCGCTGAGTGCAATCAGCTTAACTGAATTACGTTTCCTCTTATTTCCATCGTACCCGTATAATCATCAGGGATTCGGACATTGCCTTTATATTCCTGCATGTACTTTTATTTGAATATATCGAATTTATTTGCTTATAATGTAATAAAACTTATATATCAGATTGTATTTGGATTTTTTTTATATTTGAACAATGTTTTTGAACCGAGAAGAGGGGACTGGAAATGAATGGAAAGAAAACTGGATGCATGGTTATAAAAAAAAATAATACAAATACCCAAATGCATCATCAGCTGCAAAGTAGAAAAAAATAAACAAGTTTCATCAGGGAAAATGAAGGCAACCTGGTATCCTACTATAGTTCACAACACCTATGAACTCGTCAACCTCGGATACAAAATACTAATGTGTCCGAGCCTCAACTTAACCTAAATGTCCCTCATGTGTCCCAAATATTTTAATATTAAGACACCCTGAAGTTCAACGTTTATATTATAGTTCGTTAGTTTTAAAATGATAAGTTTGGCCAAAGTGGGTAATACTCCCTAGACTGCCAACCTCGGCCTCAGATACTTTGACTTCAAGGAAACGCCCCCCCCCCCGCCCCCCCATTTCCTTGCGTTCCCAATTAGCATTAATACCGATGGGAAGATGGCTACTCATATTATTATTTTTTTAATCCAATCAGTTTTTACAAGCTGCATTATGTGTAGGTGGATAGAGTAAATGCTACAGCTAACCACTCAAGATGGCGTCTTGATCATTAATCTTTGCATGTCAATCAAACAATAATTTTAGCTTATACCATCGTTTGATTTATCATAAATGATGGAACATACAGGTTGTTTTGACAAAGCGGATCTTATTGTTTAAAACTGCCAATAAAGAAGTACCTTCCCATTGGAACCACAGTTTCCTTTCGGTAAACTCCTTGCATGGCTTGCATAAATCAAACGTATCATTTTTTCATTTCAAGTCAAAGTAAAGTCGTATTACCTTCTCCTCTTATCGTGTAGTGCGTCATTCTACCGGAGAAGAAAAACAAGAAAAAGTAGATACCCATCAATGTAAACTTAAAACTTGTATAAGTAACCAGTCCGTCCCAGAAGTCAATCCACTTACGTCACGGTAACCCCAAGCTGTATGAATCTAATGGAGGACGGACTCTGTTACAACCAATATTTGGGATTATTCCCATAGATATCATCGGTCTACAATGTACGTAGATCTATTTTAATCTGTAGGGACTCTTGCTGAGTGCAATCAGCTTAACTGAATTACGTTTCCTCTTATTTCCACCGTACCCGTATAATCATCAGGAATTTGGACATTGCCTTTATATGCCTGCATGTGCTTTTATTTGAATATATCGAATTTATTTGTTTATAATGCAATAAAACTTATATATCAGATTGTGTTTGGATTTTTTTATATTTGAACCATGTTTTTGAACCGAGAAGAGGGGACTGGAAATGAATGGCAAGAAAACTGGATGCATGGTTGTATCAAAAAAAATAAAAAATACCCAAATGCATCATCAGCTGCAAAGTAGTAAAAAATAAACAAGTTTCATCAGGGAAAATGAAGGCAACCTGGTATCCTAATACAGTTCACAACGCCTTTGAACTCCTCAACCGCGTGTACAAAATACTAATGTGTCCGAGCCTCAACTTAACCAAAATGTCCCTCATGTGTCCCAAACCTTTTGATATTAAGACACCCTGAAGTTCAACGTTTATATTATAGTTCGTTAGTTTTAAAATGACAAGTTTGGCCAAAGTGGGTAATACTCATTTTCATTTCATTTATTTATTACCTTGGTCTCTTGAGGACCATCAGTCTAGTACTGGTACAAATGTTACAACGACTATAGTTACAACAACAATAGGATTATTACAAAGAATAATTATAATAGAACTAATCGCAATCATAATAACAATAATAATAGTACCTGTAGTAAATTAAATACATGAGTACTTAAATAAATAAACTACTTAAATAAATCAAATTAAATCAAATTGAATCAAATGAGATCACATTGGATCAAATTAGATTAGATCTCATGCCGAAGCCTTCCTGCTTGGCTAAGATATCGTGCCAGGTTACATAATACTTTCTCACTGGAAGAATTCAGCAGGAGAACCAATTTGAACACCGAGGGTCTATTGCAGTAGAAAGGTTTGGTGAACCTTTTTCTTAAATCTCAATATCTAGAGCAACCCAGTTTAAAGTGGAATTCATCCTCCACATCATTGCAATAGGAACATTTTCTTTGTGAAATAGGGATTTTACTGTATCTGCCCGTTTCAATTGCAAGTTTATGGGATGATAATCTTATTTTACTAATCATTTTCTTAAACTGGAGCGGGATTGATTTTGTAAGATAAGTTTGAATAGTAACACGGTCGATGAGATGTCTATAGAGCCAGCACTTTCTCGAATCGTTAACCTCTGACAATATAGCTTGTTGTTTAATATCCATTAGTTTTTGATATACTAGAGGTACATTAAATTTTTCATCATAATTACTTGGATAGTGAAAAAAATCATTAAGACCAGTTACTGTAAAAACATCATGAATCTTAGAGAGCCAATTGCCACAGGATGGTTTAGTCCGGAATTCATACTTAAAATATTTAAGGCATTCTTTTAGAATGCAATTATTTGTGTTTCTCAGTTTAAGCCAGTATTTAACCATTCTTAATTTCCTATTGGTTACCAAAGGGAATCTTCCTAACTCTGCATAAATCATTGAGTCANTAAATGCTAAAGTAGATCAAGTTCACAGATAGGATATGCCATGTAAGGGGAGATAGGTTATGTCCTTCTGCGTTTCTTTATTCTGTCAATTATGAGAAGAAATATCAGTGTCTTGTATTACACTTAGTCAACATAAATTTTAAAAAAGCCAATTTTCCTTCCTTTATCACGCAATTCGTCATATGTAATAAAATACAGCATTTCATTAGAAAACCTTTACCCCCTTGTGTGAATGCAATGAGTCGTCTTCAGAGCATCAGCGTCTGCCACCACAGTTAACGCGGTCTAAAACATTTTAGGGAGAGTCAGATGAAATAGAGAGGGACCTTGGCATCTATAAAGTTCTACATGGTGAATCTGGAGATATGGACTAGTTTTACTCTTTTCTGTAAAATTTTGCAACATACTTTGTTTTTCAGTAGCCCCGTGCATCCAAAATATTTTGCTGGCATCTTGATACATTTTCCACTTCTGTCTCCCCCCTAAAACGGTCCAGACTAAAAATTCAATAATCGTATGGCAATTTTATACAGGCAATTGACCTACTTTTATACCCATGCAGCTATCAATGAGTTTTATGGCTGTGGAGTGAAAACGTGATACACGTCTGTGATATTAAAAAAAATTCTAATTACACAATTTACAATCAGTGCATATGACTCAAAAGTGTTCCGATTTGTGAGCCTAAGGGGACATTACTTTTTGAAAGTAATGAAAAAATTGGAAACAAGCCAAAATCAGACAAAAATCATTTTTTCTCTTATATGCAAATAAGGTCTCCTGAAGTAATATATGACTGGCCGGAAGTGATGCTCATATCAGAGATTTGTAATGATGATGATCTTAATGATAATTAATGATGCTTAACAAATCTTATTAAAGTTTTCACTTGTCATCTGGTGTGAAAGAAATTTTCTGCACTAACACAATCACCCCATTTCCATAGATTAGATCGACCTACTTAAGATCGACCTAACTCTCTGGGGGTTCACGCTAAATAGCTGTCAGCCGGGCGGACACGAAAGTTAATTACCCTCTTACAGCTTGTAGTAGGCGGGACGGACATTTAAGTCGGATTATCTGAAAGTAATCTAGTGAGATTCCCCGCGGGGATAGATCGATCTAAAATCTATGGGAATAGAGCCAATCATTCCACAAGTGAAAAATAGATAGTAAACGCGCCTCAGAGATGCACTGCATTCGTCCCAGCTTTTGGGTGAAAATCGCATGATGTAAAAATATGCGTACGTGTCTAAGTCTTCCATTAAGATTTTGACTGCACTTCTATTTATCTGGTTCGACTAGGGTGACTTTTATTGGGATATTTTCTTTCTCTTTTTTTAAGCGAAAACTAGGCATAAAAGTCAAAATATTCAGAAGTAAAAAGATTTCAAAGTTTAAAATCTTCTTGGTCTCTCGTCGTGATGGTTCACGGGGAAACTTTAAGACATCTTACAATTGTATAAATTGCTAACCATCCTATTACGCGCTTTTTAATTATGTTCGTGATACACAAGTAAATTACGCTCAAACTTAAAACCGCCTTGACTTGTGTTAAAATTACATTTTTTCATTAGACAATTAAATTGTTGGATTGTGTCAAAATGTGTTTTTTAGTCTTCTCCTACTGTTTAAGTGCGGAAAACAGGCCTGTTTGTTGTAAATAAAGTTTAATATAAGCAACAAGTAAAGTCTTGAGTCGTTTCTCACAGCATTTGG